TTTTTTTGGCATTGATTGCAGCCAGGGCTGTATCTGACCTTTTATAAAAGTCCCAAACGGGTCCACTCCTTTATTGTGCTCGCTTTGCAAGTACATGAACCTGAGCACTAGACCACCCGAGAGAGCACAGATTAAGAGTCTGTGTCCCAAACAGTTTACAGTCTTGAGCCAGACTTCAGAAATTAGCGTGCAGATTTCCATGGGAGGGGGCATGTTAGAAAATGTTGATTTGACACCAGTCTTCAGTGTCCTGTTAATATAACTTGTGAACCATAAAAATGAGTGGCTTTTTTTTTTTTAGAGCATTTAAATGCTTAGTCTTTTTTTTTTTTCTCAGAATGGAAAATAGCCCACCTACTTCCACGCGATTGTCTAATGATGCTACTTTGAACCAGATCCAGGTAAACCGAGGAGCTAAATATTTGTTATTTAGCAAGGAGAATTCTGGCATGTAGAAAAAAAATCTGCGTGTGTAAGTTAACAACTGCCTCTTTTTTAATCAATTGAATTGTTTTTAATATGTCTCCATATTGAATATCCATAAACTTAGTATATAACGTAGATTGCATTGCTAAACCCCCATCCTGTATTTTGATGACTTTGGCTGGGCTCTCAATCCTAAGTATTTTAAGTTCAGCACTGGCATAAACATTAAATAATATTACCTTGGGTATTAATCCCTTACAGTCAAGAGAATTAAAAGCAGGAGACTTGCACTGCTTCAGCTGTGGAGTCCAGCTGGCAGCTGGAGTCAAGAGACAGGATGTACCTTAAGCTTGCAGCCTTGGTTTTCTTAGACATACAAATTTTGGTGCTGGGGTTTGTCAAGTTTGTACTAGGGTGCCTGCTATACCTCCTGGCCCTCATGGAGGGGTTATTTCATCTCATCAATATCTACATATTTGAAGACGCACATGAATCCAAGATGAGTTTTGCAATGCTGTTTGTTGGGAAAGCTTCAGCAGCATTCTTCCCCTTTCCATGCCACTAGTTGAAAAACATCCGTGAGCAGTAAAAAGTGTGTTTCTACAGCATCAAAAATACATGGTATTGTGTAACCATGTGCATTTAAAGGAAAATGGCTCCTATCCTAGAATTCTTGGAACACAGAAGATGGAAGTCACTGATCTCTATAATTTGTTGTCTTAAGTGAAGGATAAAACGTCTCACTATCTTTAAGAAAGTGTTGATTGTTAATTAGTGTTTATTTAAAAACAGTTAATTGACTCAAACTTTTTTTAAATATACAGGAAACTATTTCAGACAACTGTGTGGTGATTTTCTCTAAAACAAGGTGTTCTTATTGCAAAATGGCAAAGAAGCTGTTTCAGGATATGAATGTAAATTACACAGCAGTAGAACTAGACATGCAAAGGAATGAAAGTCAGTTCCAAGACATTCTTCAACAAATGACTGGTGGCAGGACAGTGAGTATATCTTCTCTGGTATAATAAATGCCACACACACAAACTGTACCCCATTGACTGTGACCTCACCAGAACTTGCTTACCAAGCAAGGTTAAACCTTGAAATTAGCTCCCAATTAAACTGAGGATCTCTCTTGTTTTTTGTAATACTGACGTGAAACCCCATGGTAGTGTAACTTGCTGTGCTGTTAGTAACACTGTCTTTTGTGTGGTACTTTATAAAGACCCTTTAAGCCACAGACACACAATTAAAAACACTTGGAGCCATGACCCATTTGCAAGATTTTATTCCCATGTTTTGAGAATTTTAGTACTTGTATTCTGCTTATGTGACACATCTCTGTAACTTCTTTTAAATCGCATTTTTCCCTGATTATTCCAAAAGTATCTGCAGTGACACTATCTTTTGAAGAAAAGGGAAATGTTGCAGGATGCTCTTTATGGAAGTTTGTTAGAAGTGCTAACATGTTACAGGTTAACATGAAATATAAGACTAGGAGTTTTGTATATTTTTCATGGTAGCAGGCTTAAGCATACTCTTTTGGGTTTTTTTGTATTAACAGGTTCCAAGAGTGTTTGTCAATGGGTCTTGTATTGGCGGTGCTAATGATACACAAAGGCTTCACCAGGAAGGGAAGTTGCTTCCACTAGTCCATCAATGTCAAATGAGAAGAACAGAAAATTCTGAACAGCCATGTAGTCTACTTTAGCCTTGCTTTCAAAGGTGCCCTGTATCTAAAAGAAAAACATCTATAAACCATGTTTAGGCCCCTAACTAAGAGTCTCAGCTGTTCTGATGGTCTCATCATGATTGAAAATCAGGCCATTGATCTTGGAGCTTAAAGATGAACTTAAATTCCAGTTTTCAGGTGTCTAGACTTGATCATAT